CACCACCAAATTGCAAAATTATAGGTGTCAAGTGGATTTACAAGACAAAATTGAAGGAGACAGAGGATTGACAAATTTAAAGCGAGACTAATAGTAAAGGATACACTCAAGAAGAGGGCATTGATTATAGCGAGATTTCAATAGTAGCTTGTTTGGAAACCATTAGAACTAGGCATCGATTATAGTGAGATTTTTGCATCAGTAGTAGCTCGTTTGGAAACCATTAGAACTGTTGTTGGATTAACAGCCACAGAAAGGTGGAACATTTATCAGCTTGATATCAAGTCAGCCTTCTTACATGGGTTAATTAATGAAGATATATACTTAAAACAACCACAGTCCTATGTCTCTAAGGAACATGAACATCCGGTATACAAACTTAGAAAAACCCTATATGGTCTTAAATAGGCTCCTAGAGCCTAGTATAGCAGGTTGGAGTCTTATCTTGGAGCTAATGATTTTTTTAAATGTTCACATGAACTGTGAGAAGGAAGGATAATGATTTTTTAAAATGCCCACATGAACACACTCTATTTGTGAGAAGAAAGGAGAAATGTGCACTCTTAATTGTTTGTATTTATGTAGATGATTTGATATACACACGTAATCATGAATAAATGTTTCTAGAGTTTAAAAATATGATGATAAATGAGTGTGTTATGACTAACTTAAACAAGATGAGATACTAAAATGTGACAGAATTTTTATTGGACAAAAGAAATATATCAGGCATATGTTGGACAAATTCCATATTCTTGACTGTAATTTAGTTAAGAATCCTATTGTTGCAGGTATTAAGTTGTTGAAAACAAATAAAAAGGTAGAAGTTGATAGTACTTTATTCAAACGACTTATAGGAAACCTTATGTATTTGAATGATACTAGACCGGATATTGCACATTCAATTAGCGTGATTAGTCGCTTCATGAACCATCCCAAAACCAGTAACTTCTTAACAACAAAACATATTTTGAGATATTTGTAGGGAACTCAAAATTTAGGAATTTTTTATAAAGTTAGAGAAAATTTAGAATTATTTGTCTATAGTGATAGTGATTATGCAGGAATCCAGAAGATAGAAAGAGCACATCTGATTATGTTTTCAAATTGGAAGATGATATAATATCTTGGTTATAAAAAAATAAACAGTGGTTAGCTTATCCACAACAAAAGGAGAGTTGATAACAACTGGATTTTGTGTTTGGCTGAGAAGAATTTTGGAACATCTAAGAGGGAGCTACTGTCATTTTTGTGATAATGTTTCTATAATAAAATTATCCAAAAATGCAGTCTTACATAAAAAAAGTAAACTTATTCATTTCTTGAGAGATTTATGTAATAACGTTGTTATTGAGCTAAACTATTGTAGCGGAAAATAATTAGCAAATGTAATGACAAAGCCACTTAAAATTTATAGTTTCCAATACAAAACACTTTGGGCATGTTGAAGAACAAAAAATAGACTGTTGTAAGAAATATATAGTTTAAAGAGGGTTTGTTTACAAAAAATAAGTGGGTGTTAAAGTTAAATCTATCTATTTAACTTTTTTATTTTAAGAAAGATAATATTTCAATCCGAACATTACCAATTAAAGATATTGTTCATTTCATTTGTATAAATAAAACGAGCAGAGATGGCTTGTGGTGGCCACGGCAGCTACAATGGCCGGAAACCCTAATGTTCTTATTGGACTAATGTAAATGGAAGGATAGGTGTGCGTGGATCCATATTTTTATTTTAAATTTCTTAATTTAATACTAAATATTTAAAAATAATAGTTTTTTATCTAGCTATTAAATTAGATTCAACTTATTTAAGCTTGTAATTCTGAATCATGGGAATGAAAAAAAAAATTTGGATTAAGAAAAAGAGGTTGAAAAGTAAAATAAAATAAAAAAAAGATTTTTAATTGATTTGAAATAATAAAAAAATATATTAATAAATAATGATTAAATAAATAAAATATTTTTACTAAAAATTTAATAAAAATAATATAAATTAAAGTTAAAAATAATTAATTTTAAAAATATTTTAAAATCAGTTTTTAATTATTAATTAAAAATCATGTATAATTTTTTATTTTAAATACTAATTTAAAAAATAAATATAATAAAAAATTCATAATAAAAAATAAAATCAGTAATGTTATTAAAAATTAAATTTAAATTTAATATAATATTAATTTTATTATAATAAAAAATTATGAAAACACGTATAATTATAACTCGAATTATTATTAACATTAATTCATATATAATAATATTTTTTTAATATAATGGATTATTCATATTTATATAATCAATTATTTATACTACATAATTTATTATACAAATCTATTTATTCGATTAAGTAATTTTTTAAATTTTATGGTGCAGATATTTTATCTATAATATTATTTAATTATAATAAAAAATGATATATATATATATATAATAATTAACATATGTTTATATATTTATATAAATATTAATAACTAAAAATAATATATAACAATAAAAAAATTAAGATTATGTATTATTAGTATATATATTATAAAATAGATATAATAAGTAAAAAATATATAATATTATAAATTATGGGTAAAAATTATAAAATAAAATAATAAATATTAGAGGATAATATAGATTATAAATATAATGATAAATATATTTTTTTTAATTCTTCTCATTCATTCAAAAAGAGAAAGATAAAATAACATATTTCACAAATTTTTCTCTCAGGTCGATATAAATATACTAATATAATTATAAACTTTATTTTTAAATCTTCATCGTCAATTATTTGTAAAGAATAAAATCACAAATCCAAACAAAAGCTAAGTTTTATTTTTAACTTTAATGTAGTATATTTATATTTGGGTTAAACATGGTTTTAGTCTTTATACTTTTACGTGAAATTAAAAATAATCCTTTTATCTTTTGTCATAGTTCACATAAAAATGATTCTTATATTTTTATACTCATCCTGCCTAAGAGAAATTGTATAACTCATTCATTATTTGACACGTGTAACTATTTAAAAAAATAAAATTAAAAGGTATTAAGTTTTTAAAAGTCATTTAAATCTGCATTTATTATATTTAAAAGTCATTTAAAAAAGAAATTTAAACTTCTCTATCATTTATAAGTCATTTAAACTTCTCTACCTTAAGTCATTTAAATTTCTCTATCTTAATTTTCGAAATGAAAACCCTGGTTATGGTATACTACCGTCGCACATTACTTGTTGTGCATCATCGTCGCATCGTCGATCGAACCACAACGAACCAATGGAACCCTTGAATTTCAAAGTCACTTTGACTTCATACAACCTTTTTAGAGAAAGGAGAAGAAAGAAAAGACATTTGGTATATGACGAGAAAATAAGAGAGAACGAAAAGTAGTTGTAACGAGAAAAGAAAAGAGAATGAAAAGTAGTTGTGACGAGAACGGAAAAGCTTTGGTGCATGAGGAGTAAAAAAAACTTCTACTTTTTAATTTTGTTTTTTAAAAAATAATAATATTTGTTGAATAATTTCTATTTTTTTAAAAGAAGAGCTTTTTTTCAATAATTACATGTGTCATATAAAGAATGAGTCATACTCTCTCGTGAGACATGATTACCATATATTGAACGCCCTTTAAAATAAGGATTTATTCTAATAATTTCAAAAATATATGAATCATTTTAACGTGAACTTTGATAAAAGGGACTATTTCCAATTTCACATGAAAACACATTACTAAAAACATATTTAACATTTATGTTTCATAACAACTCATGCATTTTTTTCAACTAACTAAATTTGATCTCTTTATAATTAATATGAAAATAAATGTTAAGTTTTAATATTTTGTGATAAAATTAATATTTATCTCTCAACATGGACAAAATACAGTAGGGCGATTTATTTTTTCAGAATTAACAAAAAATAAAATAAAATATATATAGAGGGATTTCATTAATTATTAATTTCAAAATAACGATAAAATAAAATATGTTTCGTCATGTTAAACAAATTTATATTATTTTTATTTTTTAAAATTAAAATATGTTTTACCTTCTTAAGAGAACTAATGATAAATTAAAAATTAATAATGTGAATAACAGTTTAACATGCAGAAGTTTAATTGAGTTAATTTCAATTTAATATTGAATTACTGACATGTGATTACACTAAAAAAATCAGCAAAAATCTTGTTAAACAATCAAATAAAGAGTTTGGTTTTAATACATTATTAATTTAAGATTTATTTATAATTAAACATAATTTTAAATACTATTATAAATTTAAAGTTAATAATTCCATAATTTTATATAAACATAATCATAAAGTCTTGGCATTAAATTCATTCAATTTAAATATTAAAAATTTAAACAAATAATATTGACGTCCATAATAAGTTAATAATTAACTAACATAGTATACTTTTTTTTTAAGTCTCCTATTGTCATTATTTTATTTGTAATAATATATGATGAGATTTTTCATATTGTGTATAATTATATTTTAAAATTGCAATACATTTTAATTATACAATAATAAGCATTTTTTTATAATGCATAATGTTTTTAGCTAACTTTAAAACTTAAAAAATAACCCACGTAAATTGAACATAAATAAAGGACGAATTATTTATTTGTAAATAAAAACAAAATTAATGGACAGAATATAATAGTTTTTTAATTTCTTAAAATTGTTATGTAATTTATGAATTGTTATCTCTTGAAATTGTTATTAATGGACAAAACAGAAGAGTACGGATTTTGCAAACCGTTATTAATGGACAGAAAAGAAGAGTAAGGTTACTTAGTGCAGTGCATAGTAAATTTATACCATAAATAAAGTTATATAAAATAGAAAAATAATAATATATATTTAGCACTAATAAATATGAAGGAAATTTATAGGGAATAATTTAAAGTAGACCAAACAATAAGATTATTTAAATTATATTTTAGTGATTGATATTTTCATTATTCGGGGTAATAATAAGAGGTTCGGTAGCAGAAGTTTTCCATGATCCGTGGCGGTGACTCTGACTCTCACGCGCATCTTCTTCATTCCCCGGAAACCCACACGTTTTTCTCGCCCGGAAGAGATCGGAGCTCGTCGCAGTCGATCGGTTCGGCATCGCAGTTTCATGGTGACGTTGGAGGTTTTCGCGGCTCGAAATTAAAAGCGGTGCGCTGTGAGATTTGGTTTTTGCGTTGAAGAGAGGGACAAAATGAATGGGATTGGGAATGGAGCATTGAGCAACGTGGAGATGGAATACATAAGACGACACCACAGGCACGAGCCTGGTGAGAATCAGTGTGGCTCTGCGCTTGTTAAACATATAAGAGCACCGGTTCCTCAGGTCTTTCTTTTTTCTTTCTTTTTTTAATATTATTTCTCATTATTTATTGTATTTTTGTGTTACTGTGACTCGGTGTGGCGTTGGATGTGTGTTGCGATTTTATTTTATTTTTCGTTTTCACATACATCAACGTGATCCAGTGAATATTCGTTACCGTTATTGGAATGTGTGCGCATCTATGTGTCTGCATTTATTTTTTATTTTTTGACGGTGGTGCAGTTTTGAGTTTGATTTGTGAGGAATTGTTTGTTTATTTGGAGGTATAGAGGGTAGTTTGGATGCGGAGTGTGCGGTGATAGATATGCTTCAATGTTTTAGCTGGTTTGGTTGAGGGCATTCGAACTTGTTTTGTGTTGTTTTTGTGATTGACCTGATTCTGCTTTTTAGATTTCGGCAATGAATGTTTGTGTTTGGAGCATTAGGTAGGAGGTGATCTAGTGCATGTTTGGTTTAATTTATTTTGGAAAAAATAATTATTTTCCCAGAGAAAGCTTTTGAGGGGGGAAATAATTGTTCTTCCATAAAAAAATAAATGAAAATAACCCAAACATATGTATATTCGTTGTGAAATAATGAAAAAACATGGTAGTGTGATTCTGGTAAAATGTTTATTCCAGATCTCATCATCCTTGCGGGGAGCAGTTATAGTTCATTAGTTCAGACTGATTAATGCTTACTCTGTTTCAGCAAGAAGTTTAAATTCTGAGTCTTTTAGCTTCTGTAAATTCAGTGGTACAATTTTTGTTTTGTTCTATTAGACAGATTCATTGCCGTTTTTATTGTTTTTTGAGAGGGAGAGAGGGGGCATTTGTAAGTGGCAAAGTTCTTTACATTCTGCATTTCAGAGAATTGTCCCAAATTTGTTTCAGATTCACAAATAAACGTAAAAGCTACTGTGGTACTTGGTAGGTTCAATAAGGACGCACTTATATTGATATATAACGCATAACCAGACACACGGTTTGTCTAGTTGCTAAAAAAGGGTATTAGAAGAATAGTAATAGTTTAATGCTTACCTTTCTAAGTGAAGGTTAACCACAAAAATGACCACATTCAAAGTGAACGTAATTTTGTTCCATTTTCTCTTCCTCGCTGCTTCTGTTTTGGAATGTAGACTTTCATGTACTTCCTGACAATGTTTTTTCAGTTTTTGTATAATGCAGAAACTTTTTTGCTTGAGATTGCCTGAATGTTTATGCTTTGCTGACACCTACCACGCCTGCGTGAAATTGTTTATTTATTATGCATAGATTTGCTTTCTCTAGGTATGGTCCTTGGTGAGGAGGTTTGATCAGCCACAGAAGTACAAGCCATTTGTGAGTAGATGTGTTGTAAGGGGAAACCTTGAGATTGGGAGTCTGAGAGAAGTTGATGTTAAATCAGGGCTTCCAGCCACTACAAGTACAGAAAGATTGGAGCTCCTTGATGACAATGAGCATATTTTCAGCATCAGGATTATTGGTGGTGATCATAGACTTAGGGTATGAATATATCCTTACAACATAGCTGATTTTTTTTTTTTTTTTTTTAATTTCTCGTTGATGAACTAGAGTCCAAAAACAAGTTAGGATGAGTAAATGATGTGGAACTGAGCTGTTATTCGCTGCCTGTAATAATAACTGATGTTTCTGTATGAGAGATGCAAATGGCATTATGTCCAGCATGAGTAATTACATAAATTTTGTATGGTTGGCCTTACTGAGAAGTTGGGCTAAATGATTAAACTATCTTATCCATCTTTCAGAACTACTCGTCTATCGTGTCTCTCCACCCAGAAATCATTGATGGAAGGCCAGGTACGCTGGTAATTGAATCTTTTGTGGTGGATATACCTGAGGGCAACACGAAAGATGAGACCTGCTACTTTGTTGAGGCCTTAATTAAGTGCAATCTCAAATCACTTGCTGATGTCTCGGAAGGGCTTGCTGTGCAAGATCGCACTGAACCAATTGATCGGATGTAGGAGCTTATTTTCACAAGTTGCTGAGAACTTGGCTGCCATGGATGAAGCTTCAGTGGCTTTCCTATCTCGGAGGCTTAGGAGACTGACTGGCAAAAATATGCTGCTTTAATCAGTATAGAGTAGTACTGCTTTTCATTTCATCTGCCTGTTGATTATCTCTGTGATATATGTTGTTTACTCTCTTTAGCAGTTAAAGAACAATATTTGAGACAGGTGCTTCTTGGAGATGTTCATGGTTTTCTTTTTGGTATTTTATTTTTTTTGTATATAGGTGGTGGTGAAACTATCTGTAAAATTATTTTGATTGGTCAGCTGCAGTTTATAATGGCAGTAAAAATTATAGATCAATCGAAGATTACACAATTTTCATTAGGAGTTCCAATTGGATTGATTCTTTGTTCTTCCCCTTTCCTCTTTGAAGGAATGACATATATCTGAAGCGAGAGCTGTAGAAGCTCCCATGGAACCCAAGAAGCTTTGTAGATAGGAAAAGAAAGGGAATATAAGAGGGATATAATAAATTTGACGCTTAAACTTGTGCACACTTGATAGCATCTATGAAGCTGTTCTGTTATAAATTTGATGAATAAATCAAATTATTTTTTTTATTAATTTATTTTAATTCATTGAAAAATTAATCAGAAATTTGGTCTTATTATAAATCCGATTATGGATAAATATGTCTTTTTGTTACGTTACGATTTTGATATTATATTATGGGTTGATGAATGTTTTCAGAAGCTCTTTCAAAACGAAAAATAAGATGAAAAAAGTAATTTAATTTTTTTATAAGGTAAAATTAATTTATAAATAAGTTAACAAAATAATATAAAGTTGAAAATAAAAACAATATAAACAAGTTATATAGGACAAAATTTTTATAAAGTAGTTATCAATTTTAATTTATTTAAAAAAAATTATGAAAAATTTGTCCAAACAGAATTTATTACTAAGTTGTTTCAATAGCCCTTCAGGCTGGCAACGGAGTTGGACGGGGACGGGTTTTGCCTCTATGATCCCGTCCTCGATTTTTTTAATCATTCCGATCCTCGTCGGGGTTAGAAATTAAGTTCTCATCCCCGTTTCACTTGGATTTCGGGTTTTTGCCTCGTCTCCGATCTATATTATTTTTAAAAAATAATTATATTTATAATAAATTAATTTTATTATCTATTTTTTATATATAAATAAATATTTTTTATTTTATAATTTATAATTATTATTAATTAAATATATTTTTTAATTTATTATATTTATATTAAAATATGTATGTAAAAGAAATATTTAATCATTTTTTATTCATAACATTATTATTATTATTATAATATCTGTATTCAAATATTTGAATACTTATACCATTATTATTATAATATCTGTATTCAAACATTTGATTATATATATAAGTTAATTCATTTTTAAGTTGTCATTTAAAAATATGAAATATATAATTTATAAGGGAATATTTAATGAATTAATTATTATTCAATTAGTTCAAAGTAATAAAAGTTTAAATTATTAATTCCTTTAATCCTTTAAAATATAATTATTTTATGAAGATAAAATTTGATATATGATAAATAAGAATAATAAGATAAAAAAATGACATAATAAAACCTAATAAATATAAATTATAAATAAAATAATATTAGTTACTACTAAGATTTATGTAAAATATTTAAAAAAAGATAAAGAATAAAAAAATTAACTTTGTGTTCATCAAATTGATTGAAAAGATTGAAAAACAAATTTGATGGGAGAGATTAAAGAAATATGAAAAAGCTGAAAGGTAAAAGAGAATAATGTAATAAATTAATTGATATAAAAGATTAAAAAAGACAAAAAATTAAAAAATTAAAAAATAGGTAGAAGAAAAATAAAAATTAGTGAAATATAAAAAAATGACCTTATATGAAATAGAAAAAGAAAGGAAAATACTTTTAAAATATTAATATTTTAAAATTTAAATTTAAATATAAAGTCGGGGTGGGGACGGAGCCGGGATCGGGGTGGGGATTGCATTACCCATCTCAGTCTCCGCCCAGACTTTTAAAGCGGGGAAAACTAGAACCCGCCTCGTCTCCGGTCAACTCGGATTTTCCCGTCAAACTTGGGGCGGAGACGGATCGGTCTCACGAAAACGGGTTTAATTGTGATCCCTAATCCAACTAAACCTAGTGTTTCATTGGATAAGGGTTAAGCAAGCAACTACAATAATTAATTAGAAATTTAATGGCTAGTATTTGAACACATGGTTTGTTATGCATGCGGAAGTAATATCAAAATTTAATCTATTTTTAGAATAAATTTATTCATTTTATCTTTTAATTGAGTGTCAGAAATAGACAGTTTAATTGAAAAATTGGTGGTGATTGATCTATTAGAACCATAAATGGGTTACTAATTGAATCGGTCAAATATTAGTGAAGCACTCAAAAGTCTGAAAAATCAGTACAAAGCAATTCAATGATTTTTTTCTAAAACATTTTCAAAATATTATTTCGATTTTTTTTTTAAAATAAAACATGCTCAAGTACTTGTTATTTGCTTTAGAAATTTATGATTTTTTTAAGGATAGTATGCATTGTTGAACTTTAAATTTAAACATTATGATATATTTGAATTTATGTGTGTTTGAATATTAAACATTTATAATGTTTTAATTATTAAGTTATGTTATTATATTTATTTAATATTATTTTATATATTATTAATTATTGTAAAACATATAATACTCAAAAGGGATTGAATTGTATGTAGTGTTAACTTTTTATTTTTTTTATTGAAAACATGTTGGTAAAGACCAAGAGAAAATATAATAAGAGCACACTTACACTTGGACTATAAGGTATAATTTCCTTAAACCATTTTATAATTTTTTTTTTTTTAAACTTTTTATGTCCTTGAGACGACTATTTAAGATCTATTTGCACTTAATCTGTATCTCAAACAAGAAAATGAGGTTATCTAAAATTAGATTTAACATTCTATCCTTATTATTTTATGGTTTCAAATTATCATTTGTTATTATCTTAGATATATTAAAATATGATAAGAATTATACATATAAAAAGATTGAAATTAGCATGAACACATCATAGCATGAGGTTTGAATCAATGCTAATTTAATATTAAACACAATTTGATTAATTCAAATAATTTGAAAATTAACTTGTCTATTAAATAAAAAATATTGTTCAATGAGTTTTAGTAAAAAATATTTATGAAAATAAATAAATAAAGTTCAAATATTAACGAGTATTTTTACCCGCATCTTGTAGTTTTCAAACTCCCTTAAATCTAACAACTCATGTATTCTATTTCACTAAATCATTCTTAAATTTTATAAACGATTGAAGTTCATATATTAATCATCAAAGATAATAGATATTATAATAAAGAACTAATTGTTTTCAAATTAAGTTTAAGAACATAGTACTCCTTATTTCTTTATTGATTTTTTTTAATGTAAGCACTTTTTATTTATTTATTATTATTATTAGTTATCACCTTCAGAAATGAGTACTTCACATTAAAAATAGTTTTTGTTCATCTTTTGTATTCTTTATCTAACTTATTGGTTCATAGGTAATTTTTGAGGGAACGAGAAGTGAGAAAAAGAAAATTCAAAGTTAAGTTGTTTAGATTGAAAAAAAGAAAGAATGAAAAGTAAATAAAGATAAATAAAAATATTGCAATTGATATAATTGATTAGATTGATTAAATATTTAAATAATGGAATAAATTAATAAATAATCAAAATATTTTTAATATAAATTTAAAGAAATAAATTAAAATTAAAATTAAAATTAAAATTAAAATATGATTTAATATGAAATAATTATTTAATAAAATAAATAAAAATAAAATTAACTTTTATATAAATTTAAAATAAAATTATGATATTTATAAATATATTTATACTTTATAAATTTATTTTTATAATAATTTATATATAACATTAAAATGTCGAATTTCTTTTAAAAAATTACCCTATGATTATTTTTATATGTTTTTATACAATGAAAGTATATTTCAGCTGAAAAAATGTGATTAACGAATTTATGATAAAATAAAATATAAATTATTGAATATATCAATTTTTATTTTTTACATTAATAATTTTTTATTAAATCACAATGTCGTTAATGAAAATATATTAATTTTTATAACAATTATGTTAAATTTTACATTTTATAATATATTTATATAGCAAGTCTAACCGTTAATCTATATATAATCTTGAATAGGATTTTAAAATGACTTAATTTCTTGTTAAAAAAAAAACTAATTTATATTTAAATTAAATAATTCAATATTTTTTTTCCAAAACAAATGTTACACAAAGGAAAATGTACGAAAAATGTATGTCATGTTTTAAATAGTGATTGTTACGATTTTTTTTTATTGTTGTTTTCATGTACTTATTTTTTTAGAAAATATTTTTTCTTTCTTGTATACTACTGACTCAGGAAGAAGACCTCAATATTCAAAATTCAAACTTGAAGCTTCTACGGCACATAATCATAATCTTCTAAACGTGATTGTTACATGGACATTGGGAAGAAGGACAAAATAAGTGTAAACATGAATGTTTAATATGATGTTTCTTTCAAGATTGTCATGGACATATGATTCGTGAATCATTGACATGTCCATATTTATTTGTACTTGACACTCTTAAAATTTAGATTTTTTTTGTTTACTTGATACTTCTTCATAATCTGGATGCTTTGGGTGATAATTTTTAAAAGTCTACCCGCTTCATGGTTCTTCTACCAAGGTTGAAAGTGGAGAAAGGTTGAAATGATAAATAAAGAAAGAATCCACCTGTAAGAAACTAAGATCTGACATAAAATCCATCTAAGAATTGAGTTTGTAAAGAAAATACATATAATAATTAACTAAAATTTTTATCATTATTCCGTATACATTTATTTGTTTTATTTCATTACAGGTCATGCTAAATACTCAGACAAGAGTCTGTTAACAAGATTGAAGTGAAGAATCTCTATGAAATCACTCAACTTCGATGAAGCATAAAAATATATATATATATAAGCTGATGAACAATTGCGTCAAGACACGATACAAAACGGGAACAAGTAGGAGATTTAACATATAAAAATTGGAAAATTAAAATTACCATATGGATGTTCATTCCAAAGTACAAAGAAATGGAGATTTAACAAAACAAGGAACGAATAAGTAGGAAACAAAGAAGTGAAACCTGGGAAAATGAAATGCGCAAAATTGGTAAGCAAAACGGTTTCCATGAACTCTTTCCCTTGCATGAATTTGTAGGCAATGATTTGTATGAAAGTATATGATCAGTATTCGTCTAAGTAAGAGTACAGAAGGTCATCCTTCTTAGACTTGCGCCTGCTAAGTAAGGCCTTCAGGAGACGTTTACTTTTACTGGGGTGTTGGTGTAGTTCTAAATCTCTGTTTCTGTCTCTCTCAGCGGATAATCGCATTGAAGCCGATTTTCGAGGCTCTGAAGGGTACTGATAAGGGACAGAGACACACCATTAGAGAATCTACAGAATTTAATACTATTGCAAAAAAATGCATTCAGCTCTAGTTACCCTTAATCTTGCATCAGAAGGACTTCGTGTGGTGGCTCTCCTGCTTGAGTTTGGGGTAGTTGGTCTACTACTCTTAGGTGTTGTTGGCCTGCTTGAAAGAGATCCAGTGCGTAAGAGTGGAAATCTGTATGGTGAAACTGTTCTCTTCTCTGCAAATTGCAGTTCAAATGCTAAGAAGAACACCCAGATAGATCTTTATCTTAAAATGACAGAAATATTTAATTGCTGTAATTCATAATCCTAAACCTTCTTTATTCCGGCTTAGTTGTCTGGAGCACAAAATTCTACATACTGTTTATAAGTATACCACAATCCGATTTAGAGCTTCACTCGGTAGTATATATGTGGTGAGATTTAATAAAATTGGTTGATACAGATAATCAATGTAACATTCCAAATCTGATTGAAAAATAACATGTATAATGATGTGGTTCTCCAATCAAATTTGGGCTTTCATCTTAGTAATATATGATAGCATTTGATGGAATTATTAATGTTGCAGGTTACAAGATCAAACTCCATCCAATTCTATTCAAATAACACACATGATAGTGTATCTAAATTGGTTCTAGGGAAAACACTTGGACTGATGATGACTACAAGTAAGGAGAGTGTTTAGATCCATATGATTAAAGATGTGATCAATGTTACTAATAAGACTAGTTCAGTCCTTTCCATTAATCTTACCTAAATCCTTTTTGGGCATGGTTGAAGTGAATGAAAATGCTCCTGCTCTCTCAGGTTGCAAAGAAGGTGATGGGGAACGCCCTTTGCTGCGTCAACATAGTGAATTGTGTCAACATGATTTTGTAGCTAAGGAAAGATATGTTAGCATTGACGAGATCAATCCTAGAATATTATGCAGAAAATTTGATCACCTCACTGTTGATGTTGGCGTTTCTCGTATAGTAGCGCGAACAGCTTTGAGATACAGAGCAGATTAACTCAAATACATTAACATATGTGTAAGATTTTACCCTACATAAGTGGAAGGAAAATAAGGGAGAGAAATGAGATACCATTTCTGAAGTGATGCCAGTCATCTTCATCATCTAGGCTGCATCCCATGTATTTTGATTTTGAGAAGTTGGCACCACGCATGGTCTCCCCAGCTGAACTCAACAATTTAAGGAATGTGTTCATTATAATGGGAGAAAAATCAAGTTTTTCCTTAAGTGATGTTTGGATTGATAAAAAGGGTGTAATGGAAAGAAATGGGACTGAGTATTATTATTTAGATTGTTTCAAATAGGGTGAAATAGAATGGAAGCTAATAACATGCATTTTATTCCATTGCATTCCATCTGAGGAACGAATATCAAATCAAAAGAATGGTAACTTTCATCCATTTCATTTTCGAATATAGCCTAAAATTTTAAGAGAGATGTGGATAATGTTTTGTAGTCTTGCCTGGCAAAATAAAACGTTTATGATATTTTGGAGCATCAATCACCAATGATTGCTGGGTACGCCCCTCATGATCCATGAATGCTTGGCACGTCCTTATTCTCTAATGATGTTCCACATTAAGGGAAAATAAATGTTAAAAAGTTCTTCACAAACCATATGTGGATGAAAGATGATTCAAACTTCAAGAATATGAAAAAGGGTGCGGAGTTTGAAACCACTTCTGCAGATGAGAGATTAGATTTTCTTTGGTACATGTTAATGTACTTGCTGAACTTCTAGGAAAAAATACAGAAAAGAAAACCTTTCCTCAGATTGTGAAGTTCATGTACTCTTTATTAATGGAGACCAATGATGTAAGTTTTTTCATACATTAAAATTAATTTATACATAAATTCAAAATCAAATTCTGAAGTTAATATACCTGTTCAATACATGATAAGCGTTGCTCTGCTGCAGAAACTTCAACAATCTTTTCATCTAACAAGTCATTTACCTTATAAGTCACAGACCCTAAATGATCCACCGTATTTATCATAGCTTTGATGGCATAATCCTTCAATGTATCAATCACCCTGCAAATATGAGAAAAAAAAAAAGGTACGAAGGATATAAATTATAATACTATCAAAATAAAATACTGTTTGGATAATTTTTCAATAAAAAAAAGGGTAAAATAGATTAAATTTATTCCATAAATTTAAATTATACACAAGTTACCAACCACTTGTAGAAAAACTAAACAAAAAATCAGATATAAACTATCTTTGCTTTATAAATTTTTTAATTCATCTTAGTTTTTTTCCATTTTCTTGTACAACATGCTAATTGAAAAATTTATCCAATCAGAACATAAATATAGACCAGTTTGAAACAGAGAAGGTAACTCACATCTGCGTTTGGTCATCATTGGCGTAAGAGAGTTCAAAATATTCAGCTGCTGAGTATAGTTGTGTTCTCAGATTTTTCAAATCCTTGTTATATATATGGAAATGTCAAATACAACTTTACTCGAGAATTCATTCTATCAGGTACAGAATATTAAAAAGAAGAAGAAAAAAGGACGAGGCAGTGGATCCAAGTTACCTTTAGACTGTCATCAAAGAGCAAGCTCTGTTGCATGAAATCTTCATCATAATTGGAAGCTTCTCGTGATAATGGCTGCGTTGCGATCTTCCCCATGAATGAAAAAGATTGAAGATGCTACGTATTTTTATCATAAAAATACACAAACTAAGTAAATAAAAATTCTAAAAAAATACTTTGAATGACATGACAGCAACAGTTTTATATATTTTGAGGACACAACACAGTAACGAACGACTAAAAACTGTAACAAATATTCTTCATGCAGGACACAGGATTCCATGATTTTGTCTGAATCTGTAATCATATGTCATGTTAAATTTTGAATAAAGCCTCGAAAGGGAGAGAAACATAATCCTTAACAGCATCAAAAGTGTAAAATCCTCATCCTACATGGACAAAACAAGAATGAAACATGGAAACGCTTACCGCAGTTAACTTGTTTGCTGGGACGAAGCAGGCACGAAGGTGAGCTTGTGGTTGATCTCAGTCGGAATTGGAATGAGAAAGATGAAAGATGAAAGGGACTCACTTGGCATTTGAAAATGTGAAAAAGAGAGTGAGAAAGAGGACCTTGTGGACCACCTTTTTTGCACTCCAACACAACACTTACCATGATGATGGTTTGGTACCCTTCTTCAGGAAAGTGACAGCTGAGAGATTTTAGCTACATATGCGGAATCAAGAGAGAGCAGTGTTAGAACTCAGAGCAAATCACGCTCGCATAGATCTTCCAAACAACAATCTTTCTTTCCTTTTCTTTTCTAATTAGTAAGCTTAGTTGCTTTTTATTTCTCTTTTACTCGCTTTTTCAATTATGCTTTAATATATTTTGATTTTTTTCATTAACGATTGTAATGCACCTGTAATAATAGTAATACCATAAAAATTTCATAGTAATGAGAAATAACAAGGAATTTAATATAACAAAATCAAAATTCACTTATTTTACAACTAATTACATTTTTTTAAATCCTAATTAGTCTTAATATGATTTTAATGAATCTAATTGCTATTAAAAAAATTATAAAAATTAAAAGTATATTCTTTATTATTATAATGATAAAAAAAAGTTTATTATTTTTCATTATTTATATATGACTAACAATTATAATTAATATAGGGAAAAAGTTTTCTCCCTCTGCTTTTGAGAGGCAAAACCTGGTGAGTTGTAATCATTGTTGTCGTGTGGGTCTTGTTCATTCAATGACTTGTTTGATTTCTGAAAATGGAATTAGTTGACACTAGTGTTTGCTTTTTACCTTTAAGAACCTATTTGACTTCTTTTCAACCAAAAGTGGAAGGGGTAAAAGGGACAACAATTATCCAAATAATAAATTAATTATATAAAGAAAAATAACTTTATGTTTTTTAAATTATCAAATCTATTGCTTCAACATCTAACATCTCATTAAATTTTGTATATTAAAATGAAAAAGATAACTCAACAAAACAAATTGAAAGAAAACACTTCCAATTTTAAAGATGGGCTTCAAGTTTACTCAAAAAAAAAAAAAAAATCAATGCATAATTTGTATTTAGATTTTGTGATATTTTTTTAATCATGGTACAAGGTATTTATCACTTTTATTGATAAATTTTCATTGAAAACTTAGTTAATCACTTTCAATGGGTTCTTCCCTCTCAATCACATTTTTGTGATTCAAATTCAAAACCTTGTCCAAGTAGATCAAGTTCAATACTGATTAGATCAACGACGTATTGATATTTATAATATTTTTCTATTTAAATTTGATAATATTTCAATTTAGTATTTATTATAGATTTTTAAATGACAATTATTTTTCTCATAGTGTGCGAATTTTCAATGTAGGACAAAAAATTAAAAAATAATACGTGTTAAGCCAATAAAGAATGTCATTCTTATAAATTTTATAACTAATCAGTAAACAAATCTTGACACTATGTATAATTTTGACTACAGTGTTCACATTTCAGAAGATCTATTAATATATAAAGAATTGGTAGACTTAATTATCAATTAAAATATATAAAAAAACTATATTAATTCTATTTTTTATCAACTCGTAATATTTTTGAATACTTTCTAAAAATATATAAAGTTCTTTTATACCTTATAAACCCATTAAGTATATTAATGTGTTTGTGATTCTTATAATATAAAGCCAATTAAAATTTAAATTATAAAATCATAAGTTAAAATTCTTAACAAAAAAAAACTTATAAGTCAGGACATAAATTAGATCTTCTAAAAAAATGTCACAATAATCTTTTAAGTTTTACTTATTTATTTATATATATATATATATATATATATATATATATATATATATAATATGTAAAAAACTTTATTATTAATAGATTTTAATTTGATTTTTATATTTTTATTCTCTTCTAAATAAGAATGTCAAAAT